CATTCTTTGATGATAAGAATGAGAGGATGAACCAAATCCTTTTGAACCTCTATTTCTTTGATGAAGAGGAACATATCGGTTTTGAAAATTTCTTCCTTGAGAAGGATTTGAATATTCACTTCACACTAGAACATAAGCATTTGAAAAAGGGTGAGCAAATGCGGCATTGACTTGTTCATAGTGTTCATCAAGCACATGTCCATGGGGACAATTGGAAGTAGCATGCAAAACACTTGAGCAAGTCATAGATGGCTCACAAGAATGATGAAGATGATGATTAGGACGAGGATATGATTGGATTACCGGTAGGAATTGATCAACTTTATAAGAAAGAGTTTTAACCTTGGCAACGATCTCCATTGGCCTCTCAATTTGACACACTCTCGAATTTTTCTTTTTCTTGACTCATGACTCAAACGAGAAGTGTGAGACTTGTGCATTGAATTTTCACACATTTTCTCAAAAAGGTGCCAAACATCATCTTCATGTTTCCCAAAATATGATCCTCCGCATGAAGTATCAACAATGTCTCTGTGAATGTCGGATAGGGTTTCATAGAAATATTGAACCACTTGCCATTTAGGAATGCCATGGTGTGGACATTTTCTTAGCAAGTCGTTCAATCTTTCCCAAGCCTCATGTAAAAGTTCTCCTTCCCCTTGAGAAAATTCATGAATAGAAGTTTGCATAACATTGGTTAAACTCACGGGTAAAATTTTTTTAAAAATTCATTTTGCATTTGTACCCAAGAAGTTATTGAATTTGTCCCTAAGTTATTGAACCAATGTTTAGCCTTATTTTTAAGAGTGAAAGGGAAGAGAAGCAACCTAAGAACTTCTTCTAGGACATTCATGTATTTCACGGTGGAACATATCTCAAGAAATTCATCAAGATTTTTGTAAGGTTCCTCATCATTTAAGCCATAGAAAAGTGGACACATTTGAATTGTCTCGGGCTTGATTTCATAATGGTTTTCCCCAAAGTTAGGAAGCAAGATACAAGATGGTGCATGATATTCATGAAGATTGTAATGATCATGAAGGATCATCGGAGGAATTGGAGCTTGAACTCCGGGAGGAAATTGGTTGAAAGGCAGATGTTCCATGAAATTTGGGTCTAAATAACCAAGATGACCCTCTAGATTTTCTATGATGAAGGGTTGAAAAATTAAAACAATCACTTCGCCCCAGCAACAAATCAATCAACAAATCTTCACATACAATGATCCCATACTCCCATGTTTGAACAACATGCAAAGAAAAGTAAATTGCCTCCACGAGGGCCGACCATTTAACTAGAGATTGAGTTAGAAAGATCTCACAAAGGGTCCTTAAGCAACTTAAATTAAATTTTTAAGTTTCAAGCCTTGCTATGCTTTGCAAATTTTAAATTTTATCCTTTTTGTGCTTAGCTTAGCTCCACTTGGCTTCCTTGCTCTTCAGTTCTCCTTTTCTTGATTTCCTTGCTCAAATCACTTAGTCAATCAAGAACAAACACAATAAGTAACTAAGAAGAAAATAAAGAAAAGACACGATCAAAAGAGTATTAATTCCTATTTGTTTCCAAAACACGGCGTTGCCAATTAAATCCCCGGCAACGGTGCCAAAAACTTGGTGTGTGCCGTCGCGTTGCATCAAAAGTTTGCAAAGAGATGAACTAAGAGTGTGAGTGTGCAATGTGGCCAAGTTTTAAATTTATAAATGCCACTACTACCTCTAACTGAAAATATAGCTATGGTAAGTAGGGATCATCCCAAGGGATTGTGGGTGCCTTTGCAATGAAAACAATAGATAGGTTTAGTAGGTCGAGTGATCAAAGGTTGGTTAGATTGATTGATTAAGCTATTATGCAAATGAAATTAAAGTAAACAAAATTCAATGATTAATAAAATAGAGAAAGATATAGAGGGGATGACTTGGGGTACTATAGCTCACCACTAAGCTTGACTTCACTAGACACTAGCAATTGTATATTAATGGGAAAATTGACTTGTAACTTGTGTGTGTGTGTGTGACATTAATTGAAATTAGGCATGGATGACAAATAAGCATAGATTGTCAAGCCAAATCAAATGGGAAGCACAACCTATCAAATGAGACCAAAATTCATTCAATGAAACCACAATTTATGCACACACAACTATCTAGAAACATACACCTAATGCATTTATAAGTATGGAACACCAAGGAACAAGAGTAGATTGTCCACCTATCTATGAATTTAAAGCAACTACACTACATCTACACTAAAGACATGAAATTAAACTAAGTAAGCTAAAGGTGTGGTACAATCTATCAAGAAACAAGTGTGAACCATCAAATAAATTGCAAGAGTGTTCAATTAAGCTCTATGTTTTGACCATCTTTAGATTAACTTCATCCATATACATAGACATGCATAAACTCCACTAAATCCAGAGAAAAACACATGAATCATCCATTCTAGCATACATAGACATATGGTTAGAAATAGATAATCAATTGCAAGCATTAATCCATACATACCAAGTAGAAATCACAAGATATATATATAACTTCAAGATCAAAATATTGTTACAAATAAATCCCCAAAAATATACAAAGAACTAAGTCTAGGAAGCAAACGTAAGGACTACTCTAGCCCCAAGTAGATGTCTAGCCACTCATTAAAGTAGTCATCCAACCCTCAAGGGCTATCTCCATGGTAGGAATGACCTCCTTCTTAATGGAAACCCTAGAAGAATGGATGAACTCCCCAAAAATGTGTAAAGCTCTCTCTAGCCTCCTCCCCAAGATAAGAGAAATGATATTATGAATAACATATAACCTCCATGAATTATGCTTTAAAAAGTGGCTTGAAATCCTTATATAGGTAGGTTAAGTGTCACACCAATGGTCTGGATTCGTGCATCGAGGTTCCTCCAATGATTGCACATTTTGCCAACTTTTAATGAGCTGGAATTTTTTTTTTTTTTTTTTTTCGGACTTAAGGAAGTTCGATCGATTTGAATTGTGGTAAGATCGATCAAACTTGGCTGAGATCCATCGAATGCTGCAGAGATCGATCATCCTTGGCGGCGCCTTTTCGAATAAAGACAAATCTCTAAGATATTTTGGGATATTTTGGGAAAGAGATAAAAGTGGTAGGTGTAGATAAGATAGGATCATTTCGATCGATCTGGGAAATGTTTGATCGATCAAATTTGTTAGATTCTTTTGGATAAGGATAAGGGTTTGGATCCATCTTGAGTTGTTTAGATCAATGAACTTTCGATCAATCGAAGAAATGCTGAGATCGATCGAACATGCTGAATTTCCATACTTTGTTTCATTTAGCTTTCACTTTGCTCCTTTCTTCCATTCAGCTTGAGTTAACTTCTTTAATGCTCTTATTTGGCTGAATTGACTTATTTTTGGGATAAGCACCTAAAAGGGCAATAACACGAAATTAGAATAAAATAGGGAAATAAGATAGATAAAGGTCATAGAATGCTCAAGCTTAAGGGCTTTAAACGCGCACTTTTCAGTGTTCATCATAAGTCTTCCAAGATCGATCGAACTTTTTCTTCGATCGATCTCAGTTCCATACTTAGAAAATTTTTGGAACCCTGCATATTTCAGCTCTCTATTCCATCGTTCAATGATATTTGCAGAATTTCAAAGGTTCGATTGATCGAAGCTAGATCGATCTATGCCCGATCGATCAGGACGGATTTAAGAAAATAGAAGGAGAGAAATGGATGATGATTGTTTTTCAAAGTAGCATTTCGTCTTGCTAAAGACGTTAAACTTAGCACCCATTTTGTATATACTTGCTTTCATTTTACAAAAAAAAAAAAAAAAAAAAAAAACCTTTTTACCATTATGCCCTTGTGTGTATTCATGCTTTCATGTTTATTGTAAGGCTTGATCTCATATCTCTCTTTCACCTTATGTTATATTGCCTTAGCACTCATGAATTGATCATTCTTATCCTATTTGATATTTGATGTGAGTCTGTTAGTGTGGTTATTCAAATAGGTTATTGATTCCAAATTTGAGAGAGACCATTTTCATATTTGGATCATTATCGGGCTTTATATCTTTCACCACCACAGTATACTCTTTCTATCTTTTCCATTGTTCTCATTGCACATTGAGGACAATGTGCAGTTTAAATTTGGGGGTAAAGTGACTTTGTTGCATTCTACATAAGTTTGAGACTTTAAATGTATTATTGAAATTTGAGATTAATGTTAGCTATGATTTTGATGTTTTGAAGACTCATTACAAGAAATTTGGGTTCTTGCCACAAGACACTTTGTGGCAAAAACTTTCAAATTTCGTGGCGAAAGCCTTTTAGCCATAAGAATTAACTCATGGCTCAGTCGTGGGTGTAGCTCCATCACAGAATGCCAATAACCACGACTAAAAATTTTCGTGGCAAAATGTGGACCTTTAGACACAAATTTGAACTCATGGTAAAATATCTTCTATTGCCACAAGCTATTTTGTGGCTAAATAACAATACTTTCGTGGCAGGTATCAATCTCGATATAGGAATTAATCGTGGCTAATTCAATCCTTTCGCAACGAAAATATTTATCGTGGTACAATAAGTCTTTTCCCACGAAATTTATTTGTAATTATAAATTTAATTACCCACAAATATATGTTATAGCAAATACTCAAAATAGGCCACAAAGTTTATTCGTAACTATAATGTTAATTGCCCACAATATATATCGTGGCAACTATCCAAAATAAGCCACGGAGTTTATCCGTGACTATTCTATAATTAATAAAATAAAATTTAATTTAATAACCAAATATATATATATATATATATATATATATATATATATATATATATATTGATTCTATAGCCCTGATTGATCTGTTAATTTACATCGAGTCCCACAACATTAATAAAAAAAGTGTTTATATCAAAATTGAAAGTAATTAACTCATATATATATATATATATATATATATATATATATATATATAACAAAAATAGTAAATTAAAACCACATAAATACATACAGCATTAATAATAATAAATTGTTAAACTAATATTTTCCTTAAAAATTTATAGATAGAGTCCAATAGAAAGACAAGGGCATACCATGTGAAAGCAACAACCAAGGCCCAAGGCTAAACAAAATGAACCATCAAAGCTAAAAAAACAAAACGCCTACACCTAGAGTACAAACCAAAATAAATCTGCAATATCATAGCAATCTCCTGCTCAGAAAGCAGAAACATAGAGCATTGTAGCAGCGACATTCCACAAAACCAGCGAAGATACCAAATAGCACAAGTCACTGCAGCAGCACGAAAGAAGCAACAGTCAGAACCTGCACACACCGTAGCATAATCATCCACATATCACTACACCAGCACCAATATGGAACAAAACAGAAGCTTCATCATTGCAAAACAATTTCAAAATGCATAGTATAGTTAGATTAAATACAATAAAACAGTTCTAAGTTCTTAGAAGGATTAATATCATAGCATAGAGCATGAATAAACTAATTCTGCATCGAAATACATGATTTACATATTTAATATATTTCCTACATAATCTGGGTAATGTAATAATGTCCACTGATATCCTGCATAGTGTCATACTACAATCAATCCATTCAAAATGGATAATTCATAATATTAAAGGCCACAACCAAGTTGTTAGGGTGAACTCATTTGATACAATAAACAGAGAAACGAAACCTATATCAAAATTGATAAGGTAACCAGATCATGCATGCACCCATGAATCAAAGTATAGTAAATTAAAGGAAAAAAAAAAAAAAAAACCATTTCCTTTAACAAATTATAAACAATAGATAACATCCCAGGATTGTAAGAGAATATGCAAGTTTCATGCTATTATTCAAGCTTAAATATAAGAGAATTGCATTAACAATACAAAATTCAAAGAGAAATATGCAAGTTTCATGCTATTGTTCAAATTTATGTTATGTAATCACTGTTACAATATATATATATATATATATATATATATATAGGCCTATCCAACTAGAGAACAACCCTTGGTATAAAAACAAGGAATTTTGACCTTCACATCTAAAAGCTTGAACATGTTTATTAGTTATGAAGGACTTGTCTTGAGAAACATATAACATATTGTTGATGTACTAGAAACAAAGAAAAATCAAATAGAATAATTTTTTATATTTAAAACACAATATAAACTAGACAAAAACACCTATTCGCCTACATGCAGGGGTAAATCTCATGGATGGTTATCTTGAAGTTTGGGGGATTTTTATCATCCTTTTTTTTTTTTTTTTTTTTTTTTTTTTTTTTACTTTTTCTTTTTTCCCTTTCCTTGGTTGAAATTTATATCTGTTTAAACTCGAAGTCCCCCTGTTACAACTCTGGTAGAGTTGTATTTGCTTATACTGAGGAACTACAATATGGACATCCTTTCATGTAATAAAAAATGACTTGTTCGGTTCCCCACTGATCCTTGGGCATAAAGAGGCTGGGGTACCATTATAATATCATGACTAGTTTAAAAACTGCTTTATTTTTTACCATCTTGCTTTTCAGTTATCAAGAGAAAATCAGTAGAATGAGACATAATAGTATTTTCTAAGAGCTACATAATATATTGATTTATTTCTATTAACCCTGTTTTTTTAACCCCTGATTTTTTTAATTCATTTTTCAAAGGTGACCAGTACCAAATGCCTCTGATTTTCTTCTTTGAACTTTTAAAAATAAAAAATATATATTAATCCTTTAAACGATATATATATTCACCTTTTACAATCAACTAAAACATGTGAGGAAATAACAATAAATTAATTAGATGAAAAAATTCTGAAGCTATTAACTTTCCAACCTTTAATAACATTCATTCTAGAACGAAATATGTGATTTAATTAATTAATCAATTGAGAAATAAAAGCAAAAATAAACTTGTTGACCAGAGATGATAACGTTTTTCTTTTATTCAGCTTACCTAAAATAAAATTAAAAAACAAAAACCACTAAGAATAATAATAATGATAATGATACTAAAAATAAACAAAATAATTAATAATAAAAAAAGAAGGAAAGCAGAAAATTTTGATTACCTGCTAATAGGCTGTATGAAAGAAACTTAGAGAACTTTAATTGTAATTTCTCCCAAGCTTCATCCCCTAAAGTTTATCCTAAAACAAATGGATCAAGTCAGACAAACAGATCTGATGGACATGATCGAGCTTTAAAAAAATAGAAAAACAGAGAAAAAAAACACAGTGCGTGAAGAAGAACACAAACCTAGACAATCTGTTGAGATTGGGGGAAGAGTGATTGGAGAGAGGGAGGTATCCTGTGGAGTATGAGGAAGGAGTAATGGTAGAGAGAAAGAAAGGCGTAATGTGGAATACAAAGTGAATGTAGAGAGAGAGAGAGAGAGAGACGTGAGTGCCGAGTGGGGTGTTCTAGAGAGAAGACACAGATTAGGAGTTGGGTAAAGTACACATATACACAAATAGGTCAAAATGACAACGTCTGGTCTTTTTCTTTTTTTATTTTTTTTTTGAAAAGTGAAAATTTGAAAATATTTTGACACGCCGTAAAGGAAGGCGCCAAACTTTCCCAGAAAAAAATTTCATGGCGAGCGTGTAGTGGTAGAGAAAAACCAATTTTTTGTAATGTATTTAATCAAAAACATTATTCAACTATTTATATAATAAAATAACAATTTTTTTTATTTTTATAATTATCATTTCAAATTTATTCTACAAAATTTTAAATAAAATTTATTTTCTTTTCTTTTTATTCAAATTTTATGTCTAAAGGTATGTATCAAAGTTAGAGTCTGAATGTATACCTAATTTAGTAATAATATATCTAATTTGTAAGGGTATAAGTGGAAGATTTAGTCATTTATGACTTAAATGAAAAAAGCAATCTCAAAAGTAGGACTTACTTGTCTTAAAGATAATATTCAAAACACGTTTGTTTTTCAATGTGAAAAATTGGACTTGATGGTAATTTTCCCTAATTAATATTACTTGCAAAAATCAGGGTAGTTTGACTTCAAATTTTTTACTTAACTGATACTCAACACTTTATAGTATAATAAATATACATTAGGAATAGACATAAATTATATTAAAAAGCTATAATAAAGAAAAGTGGGGTCCTAAAATTATAAGATTATCTCTCTATATACTCCATAGGGATGGCAACGGGGCGGAGTTTAGGCAGGTTTGATAAAATTATAATATCCTTTATTTGCACAAATTGAAACAATGGTGGGTTAATTGCACATTTTGTATATTATTGGGGCTTTTTTACACTTGACCCTTTTTTTAATGACAAGGAGTAAAATTTAAAAAAGGATCAATTTTAAGAATATTCCATTTTGAATTTTTATCAATAATTAATTTGTTAGAATAGGTCGGGATCATGTATTTTTTGACCCCACTACAAGAAAAAAGGGCTTCTACGAGGGGCCAAAAACACCGTGGAAACCTATTCACGGCGCATTCTAGGCCCTCGTGTATGATGGTTCCGTAAATACTCAATTTTTTTTTTTTCAGGAAAAAATCTATCTCGTAGAAAAATAATAGATTCGTCGTAGAAATTTTTTTTTTTTTTTTATATATATTAAATTTATTTACAGTTAATACTTAACCTACGAGGTGTTGAGCATGCCGTAGAAAAGTTTTTTACAGCGAATTGTAACTACCTGTAGAAAACTCACAAGGCACCGTCAGCTGCTCTAGAAAAGACTAATCTCATGAGGTACCAATGGATGCCGTAGAAAAGTTTTCTACGGCAAATTTTAACTACCCATAAATAATCTCACGAGGCATTGAAGCATGTTATAGAAAACTTTTCTACGACGAATTTTAACTACCCGTAAATAATCTCACGAGGCATTGAAGCATGCCGTAGAAAACTTTTCTACGGCAAATTTTAGGTACCCGTAAATAATATAAACCATTCTCATGACTTGTCATGCATGCCGTAGAAAACTTTTCTACGGCAAATTTTAGGTACCCGTAAATAATATAAACCATTCTCATGACTTGCCATACATGCCGTAGAAAAGTTATTTAAGAGAATTTTCACTTATTTACGGTATTTCAAGCTCTCCGTAAATAATATATATATATATATATATATATTTATAAATAATGCACCCTTAATTAATTCTAATTAATCATCCATAACCTATAATTCACATCACTTTCAGCTATAATTCAATTCAAAAAACATACATATCCCATTAAATATATCAAAAGAGTTAAAATATTTCTACAATTCATCATTTATCAATGTTCCAAAATAGGAAGTACATCCATTTGTTAAGAAAATCATCAATTTCTCAACGCTTCTGTTGAAAAATTGATAAACCTTCTAACACTCGAGTTTCAGTCTGCACTTGTCAAAAAACCACCTCACTGTACAAAATCCACGGTACAAAATCCAAGAAAGTAGTTGCATCACACAAGTCTCAAATTCAGAATGCTAATAAAAAAAGGGAAATAACAAGATTATCATTTATGAATCAAACACAAATATTTTGCTAAGAATATTTTCCTTAGATCTGCCAAAAATATTTTAAGCAGATAATTTTTCTTAATTGAATACTAGATTTTTGTAAGGATGTATGAGAACAGTCAATATCATAATCTTTTTATATTCATGAACACTACAATATCATAATATGTAGTCTCTTTATCTCATGATTATGAGCAAATCTGAAACATTCTGAAACAAATCTGAAACATTGTAGGTTTTTGGTGCAACGATTATGAGCAAATCTGAAACTTTGAATACAAGTCAAGTCTTATATATATATATATATATAAAGAGACTACATATTATGAGGTTAGTTAAAGTTTATATGCATATATTCAGCAGTGGGGATGACTGCTACATATTATGACTGTTGCTGGTCTTGGTTTAAACAAATTTTGCTATGCGAGGCTTATAACTGCCCATAAGAATAAGATACCTATTACTGATGATATGGCTGCCAAAGTAAGTATCAAGTATTTAAACAATCATCATCCTTGCCTTTATCTCATTCCAACTGGGTTGTCCAGTATTTAAACATTGCTTCTGTTAACTTTTTATTCTTTAAGTTTCTAAAGTATTCTTGATTTTCTTTTTCCTGAAAAAGATAATTGAGCTTGTTGAGCAGTCCAGGGAGTGGTCACCAGTTGAAGCATCAAGAGATAATGCTGAAAATGTTATGATGGGTATTTCTGAAGAGGAGTTATATAATATCTCCACTACTAAATATATGCATAGGCGTGGCGGATTCCTGGCTAGGGAGTTAACTGTAAATCAGGTTAGTCAAAGTTTATATGTTTTTTTTTTATTTTATTTCTTTTCCCTAAGCAAAGTTCTCAAGTTTCTAATAAGACTCCAAATCTTAGCTATGAGTGCTTCAATTAAGTAGAGAACATCTTTTACAGGAATTTTCCAACAAACCTTAAGTGTAATGGTTATGGGAATCTAGGGTGATCGTTCTACTCTTTTATAGGTCTAATGCTTCCATCTTTTAATTATTCACTTCATAGCATACCAAAAATCACCCAAACAGCCATAGTTATGGTTCATGTGTACCCACTCTCAATCTCTTTGTTTCCAGTTGAAGCCCTAATACCTCGCTCTCACTCTCACTCACATTCGGTTCAATATTTGTACTCAACATCAGATCGAATTGCTCCAGGTATTTCTTTTTCTTTATATATATCGATACGGTTCTTGATGTTGTGAAAATAAATTTTATTTTACAGCGTGGGGAGCTAGAAATAGATAAAATATTGCTTGGAATATATATATATATATATATATATATATATATATATATAGTACTATTTTTTTTTTCTCCCTTTTACCCTTTTCCTCTAAAAAAAAAGGCGATTTAGGGTTTGGCTTTTGCTCAGGTGGCCAAGACGGAACTTACAGTGATGGAGGAGGGACATGCCTCCTCCCCAATCCCGCCGGCAGGATCTCCAAGCCGAACTACTCCCTTTCACTTCTTGGTGTCAGTTTTTCACTGAAACCACATCTAAATTTCAAAATCTTAAGTTCCATAGCAATGTTAGTGGGAAGAAAAATTTTATTTCTGAAGATGACGTTGCTGAAGAAATTAAGTACTGGTCCTCCTCTGTGGTAGGATACGATTTGGGGAAGAAACCCTATTACCATTAATTCAAAACCTTTGTTGAGAAGCGTTGGTCTAAGAATTTTACTATGCTGTATTTGTTTACTATCCATGTTCTTTCTAAAATGGATCAAAGTCTTTTGCTTCAGGTTAAAATTGTTCAGACTGGGGAAGGGTTTTTTGTACCCTAGTATATGCTTCCAATTATGTTGCAGGTAGGCAAAGATTATAGAGTCATTTGAATATTCAAGCTGCTATGGTTACTGGTCCTTGGCTGGTGGTTGGAGATTGGGAGAAGGGTTCCTCAAAGACTTTTGGATGAATATAATGATTGTATACAGAAGGCGGGATTGGTAGAACATACAACCTCTAATGGAGATTGGACTTGGTGTAATAGACAAAAAACTGACAGAAGAATATTGGCTAAACTTGACAGAGTTTTTACCAATGATGCTTGGCTGCAAATGTTCACAGGTATTAAAGTATCTTATTCAGATCTACTTCTTCGGATCACTATGGAGTTTTCATCAACATTTTTAGACAATTTGCTAGTGGTCCTAAACCTTTCAAAATGTTAAAAATTTGGTGCTTGCAAGAAGGCGTTGCTGAGGTGATTCAAAAAGCCTGGGATGAGGAGGTTACAGGGAATCCAATTCACATCTTGCTCAAAAAGTTGAGATCAGTTAAGGTATCTATTAAAGAATGGAATAAGAATTCTTTTGGAAATATCACAGAGAAGGTTAACTCTTCAAAGCAGAAATTAGAAGATATTCAAATGGATTTATTAGCCACTCCTACAGCTGATTTATTTGAGCAAGAGGAAGTTGCTAGAGAGGTTAATCATTCTGCACTATGCTCTTAAGAAATTTTATATGCTCAAAAATCTAGAATATTGTGGTTAAAGGAAAATGACAAATGCTCATCTTACTTCTATCATAAGATGAAACAACATAATCAATTCAATGCTTGGGACTATTTGCTAAGTAAGGATAGACTTTGGGTCTCTTGGTTTAAAAATAGATACTCCTCTCATTCTACATACTGGACTGCTGTTCCCAAATCTTCATACTCCATTCTTTGGAAAAATCTGATTAATATTAGGGATTTCATGCTTTTGAATGTCAATTTTTCAATTGGTACTGGACAAATCTTTAATCTCCTAACTGATCCATGGTGTGATGGCCAGACCTTATTGGAGAAATTTGGTCATAGAATAGTTCGAAGGCTGGGGTTCTCTTGGGATGCACCTTTGTCTAATCTCATGGATAATGGAGAATGGAATTCGGATTTATTATAAGCTGATAATTTAAGGCCTACCAAAGATTATCTCCAAACTATACCTATTGAAGCTAGAGCTGACAAATTCCTTTGGGCTGGAGGTCCTTTCTTTTTCAAAAAGGCTTGGCAGAAGTGTAGAGTTACACATTCAAAGGTTGATTG